ACACACACACACACACACACACACACACACACACACACACACACACACACACACACACACACACGAACAGTATAGTGTAGGCGCCCACGATGACCCGCAATATAGCTGGGAAAACACTCGAACAATGTTTAGTTGACTGATGCTTTTAACATTTATGAATTATGCAACATATTGATGAATTTGGTTGTAGTTTACAGTACCGTTAAACCTCACTGAATCATACTGAAAGGTTTGTCCTTATTTTAAATGATTAGGGATAACATCATTTTACCCACACACTAAAACCTAATTTAAATGCCTTAAAATTCACTTTATGTACATTGTAAACGTAGTTCAACACAAAGAAAAATAATGGCAAGCATATATTGTAAAGAAAATACTGTACTGTACATACTGTTGTATCTCTGTGTTATATGTTTGCCTTTAAGAGGCGGGGCCTCGTAGTGTGGCGCAACATTGGCAAACGAGTCTGCGTTGGAGTCCTTGCGTGTCAGCTCCGTGCAAGTGTTCCACATTTTAACGTGTTTTCATTTTTATACACAGGGAGACGCATCAGCAACTGTGACTCTCATGACAGATTTCCACCTTGTAGTAGGAAGTTCCGTGATGGACAAGTAAGATAGACAATCAAAAAGATCCATGATGTAACGGGACAGCGCAAAGTGAAGCACAATATAGTGGGGCAACAGTGTCTTAGGCACCTCTCTGTTCAAAGCAGCGTGGCTAAACACTGCTAGCAGCTAGCTACCACATTAACTAGAATGACAGACCAACAGCAAAGTCAAATTTGAAGCTGCACTGAATGGATCATATAAGGTGCACCAGATGAAGTGGCCGGCGAGGAAACAGGTTTAAATGGAGAATGATGACATGGGAGAGTTCGTGTTGACTCACATAAAACACTTGTTCCCGCATGGAGGGCGTGTCTGGAGGGCTCTGATTGGACAACAGACGTTTGGAAACGGTACTGCAGGACGATGTCTGGTCATCCTTATCAAAAGGACTGGAAGAAATATGATGACTTTATATAGAGTTACGTTGAGTGACTAAAGGGTGCGTGCATATTGCAAGTGTAATTACCTCCATGTGACTTCCAAGTTCAGCTTAACTGTTCCCAGGTCGTTAATATCCACAGCAAGCGTCTGGGGGAGTGGGCAGAACAGGTCGAGCATTTCGCAGGACACGCTACCCACCACCACGTGATTGGCCAGACTCTTCAGCTCTGTCACCTGAAAATAAAAGTCAGCCATGGGAGGCTGTTTCATTTTGTATTTTCCTCTTTGAGCTGGTTATGGAATTAACTCGATCCAAAATAACATAAAATACAAGGAGGTCCGAAATAAAATCCAACCATTACAACTTGGCCCAATGAGAGCTAACAGTTGAAGATGTGGTAATCGCAACAATTCATGCAAAATAAACCAACCACCGTGAATTACTGTTTGCACAAGCTTGCAATTTCCTCCAGTTACCGCAACTTTTCTGTGAATTGGCCCAATCACTGGAGCGTTCCAACAGATTCATCAATCATAGCAGTGCCCCATGAGAAATTCCTTGTTTTTGATGTGACGGAGCCTTCATATCGCTGGCATCAGGCGGAAACCTTCTCTTCAAAAGATACCATCACTTTCGTTTGGTCAACAATTTGAAAAGATGACATACCCATGTGGGGACTGAGCAACAGTATCAATTTGTGAAAAAAATCGGAAACTGAACAAATTTGGACATCGGGGGTTTTGACCCAATGCCAGCGATACATCACCAGTATTTTTCTGTGAGTGTGTGTTAAAATTGTCAAATCAAATACGTCTTTAAAATCCCAAGCTAAATGTGTGATGCAATCAGAATGGTATTTGTGTGTGTGTGTGTGTGTGTGTGTGTGTGTGTGTGTGTGTGTGTGTGTGCGCTCGCACGCATGCATGCATGCGATGTTACTGAGTGAAACAGATCATACTACTTTTTCCTAATATTTCTAAACGCTTAAGAACCATAACATTTCCCCCAATTTTTGGAAGGACGGGGTTAGAAGCCTTTGAACATCTTAACATCCAACTGAAAAGTGATCATGTTTATGATGTCACTAATGTGTGGTTGGTGACCAAAATCCCATGTGAAGTACAAAGCCAACTGAATGGGGAACATTGCACTAAGGAAAACAGAAATTCCCTGGTGGACGTAAATATTAATACACGTCCCATTAGGCACTTACCTTGATTGACAAAAGTTCAGCGACGAGAGGCAGGAAAATGTAGTCTTCGCTGTCCCACATCTGTTTGCTGCTGACTTCCACGCGTCCTCGAAGCCTCCAGCGTTGACGCCCGTAGCGCATGAGCACCTGGCAAATGAGGGAATAGTTCGCCCTTTTCATTCACAGCACCTCTCACATTCAATACAAAGACCTTGATATAAACCTCAAAATATTGATTGTTGGAGTGATTTAGAGGCTAAATGGACACCAACATACACTCACTATAAAGCAATAGAACACTCATATTTTGCCAGCCAAAAAGGTGAAAAGGCAAGATTCTGATCATGAGGACATCAATGTCAAGATCTGCCCTGTGATTTGCTGTAGGCAGCCTCTTGCCCAAAGTTGGACGGGATTGGCTACAGCTCACTGACGACCCTAGAAACCAAGGGCTACAGAAAATGGATGGCTGGATAATGATTTTTTTTTTTTTTATATAAAAGTAAAACGTTTTGTAATACAACGTACCAGACTCATTTTGGATGTCAATTTCAATTACTATATTTTGCACGCATACACACACAAATCCCATCTCTGATTGCATGATGTGTCAGGCCAGCTCTGGCCCCCAGGCCTTGAATTTGACACCCGTGTTCTAAACCAGCTCTTGAATTTGAACTGTTTCTGTCTATTCTGCCTGACCCACTGGGCTCCAGAACTCTTTTTGGGCCATCTGAATAACCAAACGGCACATTTGAACATCGCCATGTGTTTCTGAACTGTTGGAGTGAAGCAGTGCGTGCTTGGAGTGTATTTCCAAACACACCCACGATTGGGTAACTGGGATTTTGGGGTCTGATCTCGACTCTACTGTTTTTGGTCTCAATTTTTGTAAAATAAATTTTCCCCCCAATGCGACTTACAGTCCAGAGTGACATATTGTTTTTTTTCCTTCTTCAGGACGCAGTTTTTGACTGGGGAAATTTATAATCCGGAGTGACTTATAGTCCAAAAAAATACCAGAATTTCAGGAAGTAACCAAATTAAGACTTTTCAAAAATGAATGCATGCATTGAGTGTGTTTTATTGTTGATTTTTTTTTTCTTTTTACCTCATATTGGTCACCCGCACACAGCCGTGCAAAACCAGCAAGACCTACAAAATGAATGAAAAAATATTGCTATGAAGAGAAGGAAGTGAAAGTGATGAGTTCACAAAATGAGTCACTCACCCTTCATCTTGACATGAAATTCTCCCATGTGGCTTTCCAGTTCGCTCTCAAGCGAGCACATGTGCTGCATGCAAACCAACATGACTGTTAACATCAAGCAAATATATTTCCCCAAAAATTGAACCCAGTACACTGACTTAGGGTTAGTAACTCACCTCCGTGCATTCCCTAAAGCCCCTGCTGGCCTCACTCAAGCTCTCCCTGGCCTCTTTGCTCCCAGTGGCAGAGTTAAAAGCTGCCACCATTTTACTTGCTCCATCTCGGAGCCGCCGCTGTATGCAGTAAGCATCGTATAGCTCCTCCACCTACAAGACAACACGGTTTCACACACACTGAATGGAAATAACCATAACCTGTATAAGATATAGTTAGGAGTTGAATCATTCAAAAACACCTTGCTGAGATGGAATTCCAAACGCCGCATGAATCTCTCTATGGCTTTCACTTGCTAAAAAAAAAAAAAAAAAAAAAGAAAAAACAGACGTGAAATCAAAAGGACACGCTGTCTGCCGTAAGACAACCGACGAGGTATTAAGATTTGTGAAGAACAAAAGGGGCTCGTCCCTTCATCGCAAGGTCATTTCCACCTCGTCCTGCTCCATTCAATCTCTCAAACAGTAGAACACAACGGAATCCTCGGCGTTATTGTTTCAACCCGTTATCACTCCTGTGCCCTTTTGACAGCGTGAAACATTTGGCAATGACACACCGTTTGCGAGTCCAAAACGCAAAGCAGACATGACGAATTGACGGTGAGAGACCGCATCCATCGTGATGCATAGCATTGAAATTCTTCCGCTAGGACTGCCCTGCCACAAGATCGAGTAGGAAGTGGCAGTGGGGGGGGTTTGGGGCAAAGTGATAAATGTCCCTTCACGTCACAGACCTCAAATGCGCTCATAGATTACAGCGACACGCCGGACGCCGTCTGACACAAAGGCGTCGGGATGACGGCTCATCTTTCTTCCCGCTCATCTTTCCGTTTTGTTTTGTTTTTAATCGATTATGCCAAGGACCTTGGGACAAACAGGCTAAAAATATCACTCGGTTTGTTTGTGGTCGGACAGGATGGAGTTCAGGACAACAAAGAGGAGGTTCTCAAAGCACCAGCTAGCGAAACCTTGTGGCAACGTCTCATGGCAGTCGTCTTGAATCTTGACTTGACAACAAAGAACCAGCGAGGAACATGTGCTAGCATTCGTCACTTGTCAGTAAAATACACTTTAGGGATCACGAGCGATTGAGTCGCAAGTGCGACATCTGCTCGCTCGTGTAGCGTCTTGACATTTCACTTCTGCTGATCCCTTGATTCCTGCGTGACCCAAGGTTGCATCTTCACCAGAGCAGCTGGAAGCTATTGTGCGACCAGCGGAATGGGTGATGGGCTAACGAGACCTTCCCGGGATCAGGACAGCTATCTCTCTGTTTATCCTGTTCCCGAAGTCTATCGCGCCGGCTTAGTTTGGTGGCTAGAACCGGGGTACACGCCGGATTTGGTTGAACCCAGAATGTCCAACCCTAAGGCTAAACATGAAGGCATGAGATGGAAAGAAAACATTTTCTTTTCTGTTTTTGGGGAACTATATGAGCAACACCGAAGCGAGTCTGTGAGTGTTGGGTAAAACCAGAAGC